ATCGTATTGCTTAGGTAATAGGACGTAGCTTAAGGAATGAGTTCAAACCTTTATTTATAGTTTAGATGAGAGCTTATATGAGATTGCTGCCACCAAACCTTATTTGAAGGTGATTATGCCTCGGTGATAGTGGTCTTCAATATTGGGCTCGTGACCCCGTAGGTAAATAAATTGTAAGCCCATTGGGTTGACCCAATTAGGCATATCAGGTTGGTTGTGGCAGCTAGGGTGAGTGCAGCAGTGTTGTGGGTGTGTTTTTACGGCTCGTCGCAGAAGGGTTGACAAGATTTTTTGACGGTGGGTGTCTCGTTGTTACATTTTTTGGGCGACAGCTAGGCTAGTTGCGGTGGATTCGTGGTATATGATGGTGGTTATGAAAGCGGATATGGTGGTTGGTTATGGAGACGACTATGGTTAGGGACTATAGAGGCTGCTAAGGCGGTGTTGGGGTTGTTATGGCGGTTGCTATAGCGGTGGTGGTCGTGGTTATGGGGGGTGACTATGGAGTAGTGGTGATGGTGGGGCGGATCTAAGATTTTTAATTTGATTTCTACAGATATATGTGTGTGACTATGGATGTCTGACGGCTCGGGTTCAAATGAGGATCTAAAGTTTCAAGAATATGTGACCACAGATAACTGTCTGTGACTACATATTACTACGGTTTCCTACGGATGTCTATAGATGACTACGACCAAAAAAATAAATCATAATTTTCAATATTATATAGAAAACAAGGAATTTTTTTATAATGGTGAAAAGTACGAAAAAAAGATAAACGTGTTCTACGTAAAAATAAAATAACTACAAAAAATGAAAATGTCGTATACAGAATAAAAATGATAAATGCAGTTTAAATATTACTTGGTGCATATTTTTTTTGTGTGGAGGACAATTTGAAATGAAACTTACAAATCATGTGTAACAAATGTTTAATTGTGCTTGTCAGTTAGTTCTAATAAATTTTGTCAGCATAAACCTATATCTTAATGCCCCTACGTTTTAATTATAAATAAATTTCAAACATGAAAGAATGTCATATTACATTAAACCACAATCAATTTAACCAATCTTATCATATTAATAAGGGCACAATTCACTTTGCACCCCTAAATTATGTGGTG